AAAAAAAAAAAAAAAAGTCACTGTCTGACTCATTGTATTTTCTTTTAATTTAAAATGGAGTTTAAATTCAAAGGGTCAAAGAGAAAACTTTGACATAGCACTGACATGTGAAATCCTGAACCCTTAATTTAGAATTCAGGCTTTGAAAGAGTCTTAAACGGGAGCCCTCAGAAGGTCAGTGCCCTTTGACTAAGTATGGAAAGAGCAACATTATTTTGGTTAAGTACATCTGCATTTTGAGCTCTGTATGGGGTCTCAAAGGGGAAGAGGAGATAAAGAAAGCAAGCTTACATGTATTTTCCCTTGCTCTGAGACAATATCACACGCATTTCTCATCAATTATTTTTTTTCCTGCATCAAAGGAAAAGTATAACAAAATCCAAACCTGAAAGACTTACCTTAGATTTGTTTTATTTAATAAATACTGAATAGGAGCTAGGCACTATTCCGAGGACTTCACTAATTCCAATTCATTTAATCCTCAAAAGGTGAAGGAAATTTACAGGTAAGAAAAACAAGGCACAGTGAAGACAAGACCCTTCCTCAAAGTTAGCCAGCTGCTAAATGGGGAAGCTGGAGTTGAACCCCAGGCTAACTCCAAATGCCAGTATTTTCAATCCTTTGCAATATCTCTGGGTAAAGCAGACAGGATTCTACTGCAGGGGAGCAGAGAGTAAACACATCCTTATGGAAAGGTATGGCCTTGAGGGTAGAGATGCATTTTCTCCAGAAGCCCAGCACCAAGGACAAGGACCATCATGATGCATACAGGACCCCGTTCTGGAAAGCAAAGGGGTAGACACCGGCTATGGGTTTATTCACTTTGCTCTATTATCCTTAGAGAGAATGGGAGAAGTTAAAACACAGTTCAGGGAAGAGCTGGCCTTTGAACATGTGAGTAGACTTTAGTAAGAACAAGAAAAAAAATACGCTGGAGTAAGAGTGGCTAGACACAGGACGGTCCCATCCAGCAGCCAGAGAGGCATGCCTTGGGCCAAGTACAGAGGCAGGCAAATGGGGGATATTAAGAATAATAACAATATCTCCCTGAGCCCCCTGCTAAGCACCTGAAAGGGATCATTTAATTTCTCATAGAGAACCTATAGATCCTTAGAAGACCCTGACTTACAATAAGAAAACAGCAGCACAGAGAGTTTACTTAGACCAAGTTACAGGATGCAGGGAAATAAAGCAGGATTTGTACCTGCTTTGCATGAGGCCCCAGGTTGCCAGGTGGCTACCAGGCAAAGGAAGAACCTAATCTTCTTCCTGCTGGCTTAATCTTCCTCTGTTCACTACACCTTGCTCTGAATGGTCTGATCTGGGCTCTGGTGTCACCCAGAGACTCCCCTGGATGTCCCAGTAGCTGCCAGTCTGACCATCCTTTAACAGTGTTGTGGGAACCCTTCCTCTCGTCCCTGTCCCATCCCCTCATGAGCACAATTGGTATAGTACAAGCACAACCCATGGCTGCCCCTCCACCCTTTCACTGGCTGCGCTCTGGGGCAGAGAGTGGGCTTGTGTGGCTCCACCATGCCCTTCCCACTTCCTACGATGGAACTGCCTACAGGAAGTACATATTCACTCACTTCTCCAGGGTCTCCAGACTCGTGGGCAGGTGAAACTAACCCAGGTATAGATCATGACCTTGAGAATGAGTAAGCTTAAAGCTGGAATCAGCATGAACAAGCTCACTTAGACACCAGACCTGTAGCCACCTGTTCCAACCTGGCTTCTATCAGCAATCAAGGTAATAATTTCGAAGAGCAATAAAAAGTCCCACCTCCCACTGCAACCCTACTACCTGTATATCCATATCTATACATATTAATACTTTACTATGATCTCTGCAGTTTACTATCTATCCTATAAACAACTAATGGTAGCCACCATTTTTAGGTATCTAGAAAAGAAGCCAAATCTTTAGAGACTCCATTGTAGCAGCACACCATTTCCTGCAGGCCAAACCATGCTCAAGAGATTGAGAAAACTACACAGTAGTGCTAGGGACAGAAAGAGTCAGAACAGTTACCTTTTCCCCCTTCCCCTAGTGCTGGGAAACCTTGATGAATGCACTGAGGCAAAGCAACATTCTGAGCCCCGAAGCTCAGCCCAGTATTGGACAGCCTTTTAATTCAGAGGTAGACAGTAACTGACAACCTCCGATCCTCACTTTCTTTCCATTTGAAGCAAACTTTGTCAAGAATGTGGTTATTTTTTGAGAACATAAAATAAAGACTGATACATGAAAAGGAGGTGGAAAATATTGTGAAATTTGAGATGGGTATATTAGAAATGCATTCCCAATACTGAACGCAAGCAAGTATTCCAGAGAGAAAGGACAGATGTGGTGCTTCTCTCTACCAGTACAGGTGACTTCTGACATGATGGGAATTTGCAACACTAAACAAATAGTCTGAAATAGCTGAAACTTATTTTTGCAACTATCTAAATTGACCATGCACCATCTTGGAATGTTTCAGGCATGGTACTTTTATAACTTCTGAAATTGCTGTTTTGTTTTGTTTTGCCCCGAGTCAGGGGAATGAACAGCTAAGTAAGCAAGACTCCCCTTGTGCATAAAAGTAATGTCAACTGAGCAACTGCACATTTATCTTCTGCGGACTACACTAGTTTTTAAATAAGATTTTGGAAAGCAAATCAACTTTAGAAACTGCAATTGATTTTTTAAAGAAATTTATCAAAGAGGAAAAACAACCTCTGGGTTGAGGACCAGATTTATGAAAATAAAGATGGCCACGGCGGAGTAAGGTTAGGTGTGGAACCATCCATACTAGCCTAATTTTTCTAACCTCATGTCAGAAAGAAGACTCTTTGGGGTTAAAACTTGTTATTAAGCAAATATTAACACAATTTCAGCAGTGGAGAGAGCAGGAAGAGAAGGCTAATATGCAAATGAGAGGCAGGTAAAGTGGCTTTTTAGAAATGCCATTCATGGGCAGGCATCTGATGCCCAAGAGATGAAAAAGTAAATTAAAATACGAAGGAAGCAGAGAAGACAAGGCAGGGTAACCAGTTGTCCTGGCTCACCCAGGAACAAGAGGTTTCCTTAGCTATAGGGCTGTCATCAACACTAAAACTGGGATAATCTCAGGCAATTCAGGACTGTTGGTCATCCTACCTCATTTATCAGCACTTCCAACCCATCCCGATCTGTATCTTTTACTTTGGATACAAATATTTGGCTTTTGCTAAAAGTCCTAAGTCACCAAATGAGATTTCAAAGGTAATCCAAATTAGAACCTATAGTGTAGAATCTGCAGCAGGCCAGCCATGTGCAGGAAGGTGGTGCTCAGAGACTCAATGTGATCCTTGACTCCTGGGTTTCACATGTGCTCCTGTTGAGTCTCACATCAGCATACCAGCTAAGGATGGGAAATAACCCTGGGGACATATGATACTCCACTAGACTAAGAGTGACAGAGATCAGAAAACCTCATAAGCTTAAACCAGCCAAAATAATGATCATTCTAAAGTTAGGAGTGTCTCCCCATCCCACCCCCAACCAAAAAATACTATAATTTTTCCAAACTTATTTAAAAATACAATTGACATTTACAAAATGTGTGCTCAAGTTAGCCATCTTCTAGACTAATAGTGTAAAATACAGCTATAGAAAATGTGTGTTTCAAATATGAGCAAGGTTCAAGCAATAATCATGTTATCTAAAGGATTTCAGACTGCAGACAACGCTATTTTCATTACATACAAATGCATGACTTCCATACAGAAAAAATATACATACAATATGTACCAGTATTTCCGAAAGTACCCAGAATACAGTGGCAAATCAGGAAGGAGAAATTTATAATGAAGTAATTTGATGTCACTGTATCCTAAAGATAGATAAAAACTTTCTTGATTTGCTTTATGTTTCCTAATGCCAGTCTTTCAAATCACATATCTTTTGTCTAACAGGAAGTTCACTGAAAAGTCCTTTTGTTTTGTCTGTTAGTCCAGTAAAATAAGAAAGATTTTCTTTAAAGCAACTTTAAAACCTCAGAGGTCAAAGAACAAAAGACTTATTCAGAATGAGTAAGAGAGAAGGGAGAGAAATTATTTCAAGTTACATACACATTGGTGGTAAAGATGCCGTAGATCAAATCCAGCTCAGGCAGGAAGAAAGTGCTCTGCAATTCGTTGTAGTAAAAGGGGACTTCCCCAGGACGGGAGCAGTTGAGGCGAGCCTTCATGAACGTGGTCCAGGTATCCTCCAGCAAGAAGCGCCCTCCAATATCGTTCTTACAGACCCGGGCAGCTCTGGAGAACACTGTTTTCCCACAGTCATGCTCTACGGCATTTTCTCGGAAAAAGAAGTAGGTAAAATTTCCAATGTCATAAGATGACACAAAGTTTGGTTCTGGAAACAACAGAAAAGAGGAAATAATCTCAACATCATGTCACTCCTTTTTGGTCTTGAGTGCTCAGTATTTCATCCAAAGAGATGTGGTTTTGTTTAGATAACACCTGGTTCCTATAGGACAACCCGGAGGCCCTGTGAGCAGCTTGATGAGCTACACTGTTGGGAGACTCAGTGTCATACACAGATTCTTAATAATGGGAAGTCACTGGTGTGACTGCACACTCAAGCATCCTGAGCTGATTAGGACTCAAGTTAATATGACATTAATACAATCAGAAATTGACACCAAAGATTTGCAGTACATTTTCGAGCAATATGTATTATTTTATTTGCAAATTCTTACATAACCTTCAGAAAGAGAGGTAGAAAATATGTTTAAAAAATGAAATGTGATTCAGAATATAGGAATCTGTAGTCCTATATGTGTATAAGACAACAAAATTATTTGACTTAACTTACATTCCTGTGACTTTGACATAATTTATGTGCTTTTACTAAGGACTTTAAAACTGTTTTTCATTGCTTGGAATGAAAATAAAAACCAAAACTGTAAGATGTGTCTGGAATTAGCTTTAGCAGTTCCTGTTACTATGGTGACCATGTAATGGTGAAAAACAACTCTTATTTTCTTATTTCTGGGTTGCTGGGGAATCTATTTAGAGGAGGGAAGAGTATTGGGATAGAGACATTGCTTTGTAGTTTTCTGGTTTCACAGTTAGCTTTAAAATTGGGATTCAGAAATGACAAAATTATGGCAAAGCCTTTAATCACCAAGCTCATTAGGAATTTAGGAAATATATATCATCAACCAAATTATATTACATTTGGAGTTTTAGCATAATAACAAATTATATTGCATTTGAAATTTTTCCTAACTTCCTGTTTGAAACCAGTGACAATAAAGATGGTACACTTTCAGATACACATACTCCCTAATATTTGCTTTTAAAACTCTAATCACAAGGTTTTATTCTTACTCATTTCTCTATTTCTTAATGCTATTCATTCAATCAGCAAGTATCTGAATTTTATGGTACAAATTAGGATAATTATGGCAGTAACCTTTGGTGTTCAAAATTAATGGAAAGATACAGACAACAAGTATATTCACAAAGATACATTTCTAGGGACAATTAGTTTGCTAGGGCAATTCGATTGGCCTTATGCTTTTGCAGATCCAATTGCATTGCAATAATAACATGTCATTGGCAGGACAACTAAAAATCTGGCCACAAGATAAGCCATTAATGTTAAGAGTAAGACACACAAACAAAATCACCTAAGGTCTGAAATGCAGACTTCAGACATTCACACAGGGTTGGCACTGACCACTCTGCTATTCTGTCTAGGGAGACTATTGCCAATTTTCAATCAATACCTATATTCAATATTTTCACAAAATATTTTAATTTAATCCAACTTTACATTTTAAAAATGTAACATATTCTCTAAATGGTTTATGTATGATAGTTTCTCTTCAGTACCATTCATTGTTAAGTCAATGAAGTATATCAAGTAATATACTGAGGTTTTGAAAAGAACTGATTTTAATTTATAAACTGTCAAACATATTCTCAAGTCACTATTGCTTTCACCCTAAATGACTATTTAAAAAACTTGAATTGCAAAACATTGTAAAAGATGGAAGTTAGCTATCTTTACTGTAATAATACGCTTTAATATCCTGGAGGGATGCTCACAAAAACAGCAGATTACATATTCGTAACTTGTGTTTTTGGAACGTAAGGAAAATATTGAAGTGGTGGTTAAAGAATGATTTGATGAAGCAGACCCTAAAAGCAAAGCTACGGAGAAATTCCAAAACCATATCTAAAGCAAATAATCACTGGCATGTCTAATTCTAAAGACCACGCTAAATTATCTTGGAATGGGTCCTGCACCCTGGCTAAGCAAAAATAGAGTTTGAGAATTATACTAAAAACAAACAACAGCAGCAAAAACAGCAACAAGAAACCCTGCCTAAAATGGGAAATCAAAGACAGAAGGCGTAAGGGTGCAGGTGTGTCTAGCCTGGGACTTAGGTTACCAGCAACTGTGTATGAGGTATGAGGTATGAGGCAGAGTCCACCAAGACTTACCAAACACACCCACTACTACCCACTTCTGCTATTAACTTGGGGACAAATGGCATGCAAACTACATAGTAAATAGCTCCAGTTTCTCAGGAGTCCTGAGCAGGAAAACAAGAAAATACAAAGGAAAAAAAAAAGATCTTTCACGGTTTCCAGCTTAAGGTTGAGTCTGTAATAAAAACACCTGAGATCTGTAGAATGCGAACTATTGTGCCAAGATCTGCGCTTGGTGCTTTATATGCCCATTGAACTCACAAAATGTGAGTTCACCTGATCATTTATTAAATGATCACAAAATGTGAGTTCAATGGGCATATAATAGGTGCTGTGCTATTCTTCCCATTTCATAGATGAGGATACTAAACCCCAGGGATTTAATAGCTTGTCCAAATTCACATAACTAGCAATGAGAGAGTGGATGGAAAGTCCTGAATCCATTAGACCAGGGGTAACCAACTCCCAGGACATGGACCAGTACCAGTCTATGGCCTGTTAGGGGTCAGGCCACACAGCAGGAGGTGAGTAGTAGGCAAACGAGTGTTACCTCCTGAGCTCTGCCTCCTGTCAGATAAGCAGCAGCATTAAATTCCCATAGGAGCTTGAACCCTACTGAGAACTGTGCATGCGAGGGATCTAAGTTGTGCATGTCTTACGATAATCTAACGGCTGATGATCTGAGGCGGAACAGTTTTATCCCAAAACCATCCCCTCTAATCCCAACCCAAGTTGATAGAAAACTTATCTTCCGTGAAACTTGTCCTTGGTGCCAAAAAGTTTAGGGACCACTGCATTACACTATACTGAAAAATAGTGTTTGAAAAAAAGAAGAAAAAAACACAATCAGTTAAATGCTAGCAATATTCAATAGGATTTGATTTTCTGCTTTAGAAAAACAATGGCAAGCTCTTGGCTGGACGGCCATCTTTCCATGGAGAGTGGTAAGCAGGTTTACTTAGGAACAAGCTAATGGGGGTTTCAGAACCAACCAGAGAGACAATAAATGATCAGGTGACACTTTAAACCACAGCTATCAGGGACATCAGGAATGATACAGAAAAAAGAAAAAGTGGAAGGAAGAAGAAACAACTTAAGGACTTATTAAACAAGAACATGGTCGGAAAGTGTTTGGCCCAACTCCAGAGGGTGTTTCGGGGGGCGGGGGCGGCACCATGTGGGGAACGCCGCCGTGTGAAGCCCCCCCAGTGTTGGGCCTCACTGTGCGTGAGCTTGATCCCGGACACAGTTTCCTGCTGTAGGCAGTCGAGCCATGGGGAAGTAGGAACGGAAAGAATAAGAATAATGTCAGCCTCTATTTCTGACTACAGTGACCCTGGGTAATGGACGTGTGTGCTCTTTCGGTTCCTGTTGAGGAGTGGGTTTTATGACTCTGTTTACCAAGTTAAGTATAGCCTTTTGAGGACCAGATGATATTCCTATACTCAGATAAAGATTTATGGCTTAGCCTGTGACATTTCTTGATTGTTATCCTTGTGACCACATGTTCTGTTAACAATGATAAAGTACATTACCTGCTTACCTTTTATGACCCGTGATTATGTACCCCCTCTGCTGACATTTGCTTTTTGCAACTTTCTGTGATTTTTGCAACTTTCTGTTCCCCTTATTGTATAGCTTACATAATGTGCACTGACATCAATCCTTATAATCTAAAGGTATATATTGGAACCCTGGACACAAATAAACTTGCTGCATAGGCATTGCCTATTCAGTCCTCCAGACCCCATCTTTCTGTGTCTCTTTATTTCTGCATATCCCCTCTTCCAGGCTGGGACCCTCTCGCTGGCCGAGACTCCCCAGCGGGCTCCCCGTCGCCCACAGCACCATAGCCTCAGAGAGCCAATAAATGACTCTTGGGAGGTCATGCCGTGCCCTTAGTCTGCTGGAGCAAACCACATCCACTTTTGCAGATAAGCAGAAGACTGAGTAATAGTAGGCAGATTGAAGCACAGTTTCCTCTTTCCACTGACAGCCTCCACCATATCTCCAAGCCACCCTGAACCAATGTTATAAGATCACAACATGCATTTCAGATAGAAATGCTCAAACACATGCTTTCCCTTCGGTTTGCAAAAACAAAAGAAGAATTTGTATTCTGTGTGGAGCGGGTGCTGTTCTACAATTCCCCATGCAGGGCAGGTCTTGTTGGTCAGGGAGTGAGAGAGCGTTTGAAAACACAGGCTGTGGCCCTACACAGGAGGAGGAGGCCGGGTCCTGACTGTGTGACCTGCCATTAACTAGGGAAATGCAGTTCCTTGAAAAGTAGAGCTTCTTGAAATCCGGCTAGCATCCTGTTCCTTTCCAAAGACAATAAAAAAGTGGGAATAACTGTAAAACAGACAGTCAAATAGCTCTTATGTTTATCGATAAAAATTTGGAAGTAGGGGACATTAGAATCTTGCCAGGCAGGATGATAAGATGCATGTTGTTTTCCTTCCCTTATTTAAGTTCTGTCTTTTCTCAAATTGCAATTCACCACAAACTAGTATCTGTCGCTCCTGAGTGAACTGAACAAGTAAGAGGAGAATCAGCTATTTTCCTCTTGTCTACAACGGATATGAGTGCAGGAAAGAGAGATCTGAGGTGTGCTGCTAACTAAATCAGAGTAACAACAGGCACGTCAGCTGCTGTGTAAATATATGCATGGAGAAATGTTTTCTCTAATGTTTGTAAAACATACTGAGTTATGTAATACAATGTCGTACAAGACACATCATGTTAATAAGAATTATTCTTTTCATGATATAGAAACTTTTATTTTGCATGTTTACTTACATAATAGTGACCATACAGATAGCAGTACTGAGGAGGGACTCACCACACATGTAATTACGAGTGATGCGAAGAAAAGCATCCAAAATTTTGAGATTTTGATCACACAAAACC